GCATTCCATCACTTGCTCACCAGTGGATCCTCTGCAGTGAATGGGTGCCGTCAGAATGAGAGTCCAAACAGTTGTAATCCACAAGTAATCCACACCACTCCAGTCCATCAGTTAACATCTTGTGCAGCAAAAAGCTGCATGCTTGTAACAAACAAATCCATCAAGACATGTTTAACTTGTATTTAAACGTTACTACTTCCTACTTGTTTCAGAATGTTCAGAGAACATTCAAAAGTTACATTCCAACTATTTTCCTTAATCTATAACATTTACAATAACCCAGAAAATAGACATCTCTAAACTGTTTTGAAGAAATTACGTTTTCATAATGTGAACGTTCGAAAAATGTTCTTATAAAAATATGTTTGTGTTTGCCTCAAAAGGACATATGATTGGATAACTGCACAAACAATGACTAACTAATTATCTTGAGCTATCTCACCTGATTGCGTTCCCAATCTCTGTCTTTATTGTTAACCACCTTATTTTGAGGACAACAAAATGAAGGACAAATAAATAAATAAATATGAATAGTAAAGTACAGTAGAGTGTTTTTATGATTATGATAGTGACTTACAATAATATGATGAAAAATGCTAGTTTGCAATATCAAGCAACATTATATGGGCTGTTTTTGTGCATGAGAAATAACTGAAAGTGAAACTGGAAGGCTGGCACATCCGCGCAGTTGTTGACAAGTCCGCGGTTTTCCACAGCATTGGGCCTAAACCGTTGCCGTGGGTTGTTTTTCATGTCTGCGGGTTGAAGCGACCCAAATAACGTGACATTAAGCCTCTGGAATACCAATTTTACCAGGAAAAAAAAAAACATACCCCCTAGTGGGCTAGATTTTGATTAGTTTTGAGTAGCAATTGAGCTTGTTTTTTTTGTGAATATCTGGCAACCCTGCACTGCGCCCGTTCTTACCTGAAAAATAAGGTTTTTAAATAGTGCTGTCAAATGATTAATCGCGATTAATCGCATCCAAATAAAAGTTACAAGTTTTTGTTTACATAATATATGTATGTGTACTATGTATATTTATTATGTGTATATAAATACACGCTCATGCATGTATATATTTAAGAAAATATGTTATGTTTATATATTTAATATATGTATAATATACATTATATGAATATCAATTTATGCATGTAAACACATGTAAATATTTTACTGTATGTGTGTGTATTTATATATACATAATAAATATACACAGTACACATACATATTATGTAAACAAAAACTTTTCTTTTGGATGCGATTAATCGTTTGAAAGCACTTTATCGTTTTTAAAATGTTATCCTCTTGGCGTAAACAAGCTGTTAAGCGCTCCGTTATAGAGAATTCCCGGTTCCTTTTATGTGCACAGAATCATCAAGTAGTTTCTCGATTATGGAAAATACAAACCTTCTCAAAGTCATTCAGAACTGATGTACATATGACGAGTATCACTATCAGACCGTCATGTGCGGACAGCAGTCTGATCATTGTGCGTTTGATGCCTGCTTCTGCTGATAATGATTATCTGTCAGTGTGTATATGGAACTGTTATCGGACAGGCCCCGTGTGTTTAGACTGGGACCAGGGCTGAGGACACCGGTGTCCAGGACAAACCCAGGGCTGATTTACGTGATCAATGAGCTCAGACTGTGTTGTGTACCAGACATAAATCTGTATTGTGCCTATAGGCTATTTAAAGGGGTCATAGGATGCTACATGCACTTTTACAAGTAGTTTGAACTGAAATGTGTGTTGGCAGTGTGTGTACACAGCCACCCTATAATGATAAAAATCCACCCAGTGTTTTTTTTTTAATCTGGTTAAATGTTTTCCCCTTTCTCAAATCAAGCCGATTTCAGATGCCTGTCTGTGTGACGTCACACAGACAGGCCCCTCCCACGATAGTTTGATTGACAGTAGCGTTTCAGCACAGACTGGACTGGTGTCTTACCTTAGACCCGCCCTGAGTGACTGTCATCAGTCCGCCATTGTTTCACCGCCGGAGCAGATGTAGACAAGAATGATTTCTAAGCGATTGAGGTGTTCTGTTGTTGGATGTAATAATGAACA